GGACTATTTCCGCAATTTGACAGCTCGACCTCCGGATATGACGTTATCTGGACGCGGACTTTTGTGCGCGCCGCGGTCGCAACCTCCTGCTTTTTCAACGCCGATGGTAACATTGTTGCGCTCATAACCGTTCGAATGTCGCGCTTTTATATTATACACGCGTAAAGTGCTTTTTCATTTTTATTCAAAAAATAAAAATATGTTAAAATTACACTAAATATCATAAATCATACTAAAATATCATTCCAAAGTTATGATTGGATCATTTCGACAGAGGTGAAATGAATCATCATGCCACTACCGCATTTTCCCGAATCGATTTGTTCTTAATCAATAAAATAATACAAAGAATGAAACCGTGCAAAAGTTATTAATAGTCCGAAAAGTTAATATCACACCTTTCGATGACTTATTAATGATCCTCAAACTTCATTAATTTTCCTTCAACATCAGCACTGCTTTCCAATAATATTACACACGCACCGCCGATGGTCCCGATCATCGATGCATCTCTTTGCATCCATCGGCATCATCAATCCCTCTGACCAATAATGAGGCGAACGCGCACCGTGTATCTCGAAAATATTTACGGTCGCAGCGCATCAAGGAATTACCTTGACGAATGCGAGGTGTTAAAAAGCGTATCGCGGGCGGCTTCATCATCATCATCATCGCCGTGGTGTGTTTTTTACTTCTTCGCCACACACACACACACGCATGCGATGGGAGCGTTTGCGCGCGGACAGTCCGTAACAAACGGGCGTAATTTATATTATGTCAGCGGCCGCTTCTTCGGGCCGAGACGCTGAGGAGTCGGCGTCGAGGTCGCCGCAGACAAGTTGGGCCCAGAAACAAGAGGCCGTTTCGGTGCGGCGCAGACAGTTTGGCGACGAAACAATTGTGCACGCCTCCTAGTGCTCGGCGTGTGTAATTTACGAGTTAAGTTTGCTGGCGCTGGCCGCTGAAGACATTCACCGAAACTTTCCACACAAATAAGACGAAGGAGTGTATGTAAATATTATATACGAGGAAAACAACGAGAGAATGGCAAGCAAGCAAGCACACGCTGCAGTTACGTGTTGACAGGAATGTAAATATTATTTTATGTGAAATGTGAATGAACTCATTAGGGATTTGGCGCATGTACTAATTTGACTAATTTTACTAATTTTAATTTACTCAGAACTAGTCTAATGATAGACCAAGATAACATTTCGATTTTATAAGTATGTTTATTTATTTATTTATCAAACGTTATGCGGCGCAAAATAATCGTCAATTTATCGAGTCGCTGACGTGTGAAAGTTGCCAGTTGCCTGGCGATTGGAGAGCTCCTCCATCTGCCGAAGAAACGGTGACAAGTGGGCGCCATAATAACAATTTCAACGCATAGAAACGTGACTTGACTATCTCTTGCCAGTCGCTACTGGATTTTTGATCTCTTGCTGGTGTACAATGCCTCCATATGTTCACTAAGCACGATAGTAATAATCTAATTTAAATCAACTCTGAAAGTTTACATTTTCTAGGTTAGAAAAAAAGCACCTTTAGTCATATGGTGAAAATTTTGTTCAAAATCTAGGAACTCATAAACTGGTTGATTTTGCGTAATGTGGCCTGTCCTGGGACCTGACAAGCAACCAAATGTTATTTACAATCAGTGTAGCAACATGGTCAGGGGATGTTCGAGTAGCGACCAGTTGCAATTTACTGGCAATATTGGTTTATAGTTTACTCCAGCGACGCAGCAATAAATATAAAATATATGGCTGCGCATAAATATTAGTCGCATATAAAAGTTGTAAAAGTTGTAAAAGATATAGACGGCGGCTGGCAGCGGGCACTTGACTTTATGTCGGGATGAAATTTTCACTTTACTACACACGCACACACGAAATATGGCAATAACGCCGTGACATCACTTGTCACCCATGATGTTGGCTGCGCTATTGATGGAAATACATACGTCTATAGATTACAGCTATAAACTTGATGTTGGTGAGATATTCAAATCAAACTCAAACTTGGAACGCAATTTGTTTACTGGATCGCATCGATTTCTGACTGTTATTGTTTTGTTTTTACTGCAACAACAAATATTTGAACAACTGCAGTATACTAGGGCTTAAGCCTTTCGTGGAATCGATAATACGACTTTTCGACTTTTCGAATAACAAGGTTATTAGGGCCTAGTTGAGAGGGCGATTGTTTTGCATTGTGGGAATACAAAGCTAGTCGGTTGAATGTTTTGGGTTTTCCCCGGCATTAGCTACTCAGGCGGTGGTAAATACAATAACATGACATTTGCTTTCAATTATCAACTGGATTTGAGGGCAAATCATTTTTAATCCAGGCCTATAAACGGCTAGCACTTAAAGTAACAGTTTACCAATAATTTAATAAATAATACAGAAAATTTAGCCATAAATTTAGCCGAATATTAAAAATAAATGTCAAATGTAAAAAATCTGCGTCGGTTTATGTACCTATGATATGAATAATTAGTAAAGGCATTAATTCCGCTCGCTGAGGATGTCAGTAGTGGCTGTCGGTAATAATGCATGCGTTGACGTTGGTTGGTCGCCTCTCGAAGAGTACGCCTTCAACGGGCCGTGAAGATACGCGGTATCGAAGTAACTAGTTGGAAGCGCGCGCGCGCGCGCCCGGGGAGTGCATATTAAACATTCTTTCACGCGTTCATTGAAAATGCATTAAAACCAAACACACGGAGGTGGAGCGCGCGCACGCCGCCCGTATGCCCCTCGCAGTTAATAGCAGCGCAACGGTACACATGTCGGCGGCGGCAGCAAGGTAGCGAAATGTATGTACACACGTTCACGTGCATCCGCGGAGTGTACATTACGCGGCGTACGCAAACAATGGTGCCCAATGCAGGAGCCACGACCGAAACTCTCTCAGCATGCTTCTCTCGACGTTAGCACAACTCGCTCAATTTCACCAGCAAACGCTCGCTGTGTATACATTGCATACCGAGTGTATGGCGAAACGCGACCGCGAGCGCGCATTGTTCCCGGCTGGTTATTAAAGAAACTGTTTGAACGCGTCGCCGGCGGTCTCATGCATCTTTGATGGACCTTCCTGCCCTGCATCGACACATTGAAGTCACGATGTCAACGTCGGGCCGCCGTCGAAGGTCTTGCGACAATGCATTCGCCTTGCGGGCAAGCACCACACACACACACGTACACTTTCACCCTGCTCTGATTTATGCACGTGTATGTGTGTTTGAACACTCGCGCGCTACTTTAATTTCTCCGCAAAATCATTTTTAATGTTGCTCGATTCTCGAAAATCAATTACCTACCTGCAAGCGCACGCAAAGTGTAACTTTCGAGCGCGACGAACGCACGTCATTCACACTTCACTCAGGATTTCGACGCGCTGTGACCAAAATTACGCGCCGCTACGTCTCCGGAATCATCCTGATCGTCAACCACGTTAACGACGAAGTCATTCAAATGTGTCGCCTACTTTCGAAAATTCTATAGTTTTGAAGTTGTGAAACGATACGACCAAAACGACCTTCAACGCCAATCTTACACTACAAGTGTCCCCATCTACCATCAAAAACGACTTAAAAAGGCCTTTCCATTTTTTGCATTCATCTGGATGATGTGAATTGGTGCGCTGGGACGTGCAACTATGAATTGTCCGTGGCTCCAGGCCTCTGGGGCGAACCCGAAATACATTGACGCGCTTTCCATCGAATACAGGTCGCATTCGTACTTACATTGTGCATGTTCAATAAAGATCAGGTGCTACTGATAGCATTACAATGTGTATAAACATGTTGAATAATAAAAACCAAGCAAACCGCATTCAATGTGTAGGTAAAGCGATCAAATAAAATGCACAAAGTGGTAATCTCTTTGAAGGGCCTAAATTATAATACAATTATATTAACTTCAAGCGCCACTTGTGCCTTTTTTAATATGAAAATTGTAAAGACGACAATTTTTATGCAATTTATATAATCCAATCGTAATTATTATAGCCCTGGCATGTTGTGTACCTGCGGTCGATGCGGGGGTCAAGTAGTCCCTATTATCACTAGCTGAAAGCAGGGAACTCCTCCCTGCTCCCCGGTATCTTCACGTCCGCGTGCTTGCGCAACGCCATTCACGGCAGCGCCCATTGTCTGACGATATTTATGTATCTACTGATAATAACTCAAGTAATTGTTCCTGTAATTGGCTTGAACCCTTCTAGCTGGATGGTTATTGCAGTGCGTATGTCATTTTCATGTTTCGAGACGGCGTGTTGCCTCCCGCAGGACGAGTACGTGCAATATGACAATATTTTTCACTGTCCGTGTATTGCATAACAAATCTTTTGCTAATTGTTGTGTAAGGAGATTTGGACTGTTTTCATTTGTTTTGTGTATCAATATTTCCAAGGTCGTTTCACCAAGATGTGAATATTTAATTTTTCTGGCTTGCAGGATGAAAATTTAAGCCCCTGTATGTTGAATATAATTAATCGTGAAATTTGCATCGTAATAGCGCGTCTTGTTTTTATATTAATTAGTTTTTTAGAGGAGCGCTGTGAGTTGCGGCGTGTTTGTGTTCGTTAGAACGCTAGGCGCACGCCAGTCTGTAGCGATTTCACGATGCGCTTACGTATTAATTAATTATTGCATCGTTGTACTACAGTACAGGTTGTAGCGCGCGCGCGCGCAAATGGGAGTTTGTGTTCGTTCGATGGATATAAAAATCCCCGCGAGGTATAATTAGTAATAGTCCGAAAAATTAATGCCTCGAACTGCCGCCAGGATCCGCATCGTCCCCGAGGACAGCGTAGTCGGTCTACGCGTTCAACGGTGGGGGCTGCGTTACGCCTAGTTTGGTTGGGAATCGTGCGCCGATTGGCTGCCGGTTGCCATAGCGCTGGCGAAGCATGCTCAGTGCGGCTGTCGCTGGTAGGGGATTTGTACAAAGGAATACGCTCGGTGGTTACTCGAGAGTCATAACATTGAGTCACGCCGGCGAGTGCGGAGGTGATTTGTCTGTTGTTAAACTATCTCGTGTGTTTGTCGCCGCTTTTTGCCGTGTGGTGCATCATTGCAGTGTGTGTGTTTTAAGTGAAAGCTATCAAGCTGTTTGCGCCGACGGAAGACATGCTGACGATGGAAACAGACCTCAAGGGAGGTAGCCTGCATGCCACGATGCCGCCGCATCACGGCCTCCAGGCGTACGGCTCGCTGAGTGCGCTCAGCCAGGGCTCGATGCAGCACCTTGGCCAGCATCCGCATCAGCTGCATCATCAGGGCCCATCGCCGCAGATGCACCATCAACACCAGGGGCCCAATCATCATGGGCAACATCAGGCTGCGCAGCATCAGCAGCCGCCGCATACCGGCGGTCCTAATAATAACAACTCCAGCAGCAAGAATCAGAACCTGGAGCGCGTCAAGCGTCCGATGAATGCGTTTATGGTGTGGTCCCGCGGCCAGCGGCGGAAGATGGCACAGGAGAACCCCAAGATGCACAATTCAGAGATTTCGAAACGTTTGGGAGCCGAATGGAAATTACTTAGCGAGACGGAGAAGCGGCCGTTTATTGATGAAGCTAAGCGGCTGCGTGCCGTGCACATGAAGGAACATCCGGATTACAAATATCGCCCACGTCGTAAGACGAAGACACTGCTCAAGAAGGACAAATATCCATTGGGAGCGACGGGACTATTACCCAGCTCCGACTCAGTGCGTTCGGCCGCCTCCGCCGTGCAGCAGGTCTCCGCCCGCGAGATGTATCAGATGCCTAACGGCTACATGCCCAACGGATACATGATGCATGATCCCAGCGCGTACCAACAACAATACGGCGGAGCTAACTACCCAAGGTACGATATGAGTCAGATGCACAATAGCTACATGAACGGCGGCTACGGCGGTTATGGCGGTACCGTGCCCAACAGCGCCGGTTCACCGTACGGCATGCAGCAAGCCGGATCATCGCACAGCCCCTCCGGGTCCAGCATCAAGTCGGAACCGGTGTCGCCCAGCTCGGGCCTCCATACGCCGACACCCGTCGGTATCAAGCGCGAGTACGCCACCACCCCCGGCCAGCCACAGCAGCCGCCCCAGGGGGACCTGCGGCAAATGATTTCCATGTACCTGCCCACCGACAGCGCGCAGCATATGCAGCAATATAGTGCGTCTCCGGATACGATGGGCCCTGGGCCCCTTGCGCCCTTAGCGCACATGTGAGAACCGCTCTTCGCGGCCCAGGACTTGGACGTGCCGCCATTGTGAACGTGTAAATATTCTGTTATAATTATAAGAATTCGTTTTTATAAATGCATCGTAATATTGAGGGCGTCAGCACAAATAGACTTTCGCGGACAAACCAATAACTTTCGTTCGGATCACCTGCGGGTGCATTCCGATCGCATGTAAACAAACAGAACTGTGTTAATATTTTGGTTCGTGTCGGACCGAGGTCGGCGCGCCGGTTTATTCATAATGTTAATAAATCGTCAATATTTATTAATAGTTAGCTGAATAAACGCGAGTCGCGGATTGCGAGCTGGGTGATTTTCAAATGGCGACGCGGGACTGTTCAAAAGTGCTTTCGACAGTGTGACGAAGAAATGTATCCAATCTACAACATGGAGAACGATGATTGTATTTTGCGTTTTACACAGCGCCACACTCTTGAAGGCATTTTTACTTCGACACTTCTTCTTTGTCGTTTGCAAATTCACACACACACACAAAAACTATATCGAAAGTATTGATTACGAAAACGTTGGTTGTTTAAATCTAATTTCTAGAAGTTAAAGGAAAACCAAAAAATGCTACTAAAACAACAGAAGATTAATAAGCAAAAAAACAAATAAATCTTATCACATATTATTATCATCTCTTGTACATATTTATAAAGTTTAAACATTTGACGATGAGAGAACGCGTTTTTGTATAACGTTTTAGCGAGACAAAGATTAAATTCACCACGCATACATTTAAAATTTACATTTAAATTTTAAGAAAACACAAATCAAGTATTCAAACAAAAATTGATTGGAAACATTTGAAGAAATTTTTTCTTTTGGCATTCGGCACATATTAGTCGAAACATTTTCTTATGTTTCAGTGCAAACAAAAACAAATCGCAATCAGTGAAAGGACAGAAACGCCTGTTATTGTTTTATTTATATTATTTTAATTATAGAAATTTATATTTTACAACATAATGTAATATTATTTCTACGTGTGTTTGCGAACAGCAGTTTGGATATGTACCTATGTCCCAGTGAATATAAAACTTGGTTTGAATCTGAATATGAATCGAAACAAATCGACAACTTCAAATGGAAAAAATGCAACACTTTCGAACATCTTCTGGATGTATTGTACAAAATTGACATAAATTCAACATTGGTGATTATTACTTGTTTTTCTTATAGTTCTATTTAATTCCTCATTATTTATGTACATATAGTTTAAGGATGTAGAAAGCAAAAACACACAAATACAAATGGAATCTAAATGACAAAACACAAAGTTTTTGCATTCCTCGATTTCTTTTTACATTGCGACTTAATCTGCATTTCAATGTTTATAATAAATTCAATCGTTTAGTTCCGATGGTGGCTGATTAAATAATGATGTGGTTAAATCTGAGAGAGATTTTGTCGATAAATAACGATTAAATAAGCGATATCGATATCATCGTCACTTTTCACAAACAAATCATGCTTTGTACATATTAATGATATATATTTAAGTTTATCTCATTTTTATTTTCAATGTACAGTGTGTTTACATTAGTCAATGGAACGAAAATGTGAATATATGATGATTGAGAAGTTATCTCTACGATTTTTATATGCAATCATCCTTAAATTTCCTGAGAATCCAATTGAATACTTTACTCGTACTCTGGTGTAAGTTATTAGTGAAACATAAGAAAATAAAAGTTTGGAATTTGTATTTCAGAACGAAACACACACAGCGGCTTCAAAGCAATTTCAGCGCATCGCTTCATTACTCTTCGTCAACTTCGCCAGCTAGCAGCTACCAGTGGCTGCAGTAGATGGGAGAGTACGTGCGGGAGCGCCGTCGGCTTACAAATTCGAGGCGTCGCGACGCCCGCTCGCATTTAACACGCGATGCGACATGTGCGTCGCGGGCGCACGTGATGCGTTGCATTTAATGCCGTTTGCTCTTCACACGCAATTGCACTAATGTCTTTGTGTATTCATAAGGCGCGAAACTCCCACAACCTGCGCGCACGACATCACAGATTTACTTTGCTCGTTATTATCTATTTAAAACTAGCTATTTTCACATTTTTTTCAAATTCATCACAAATTATAGTGATTTTGTATGTTTATGTTATTTACAAAAACAAATAATACAAAGGAATGTTTAAAATGTTAAATATTTTAGGGTAAAATGACGATATTTTAGTAACACTTGTTATATTAAAATATTTTTATATCGTCTGCTTATGTGTAGTGGTGTGTAAGGTTAGAGTGTTAGACACATAAATAATAATGGCTGAGTGCATCTCACGATGAATTATTTTCCCAAAAATTTTGACACCGCGACCGACACGCTCCACAACTACACGCCGGCGTTGTTTACAACGCGCGGAATTAATGATTATTATAGTCTGCGCGCTTTTTTTAATGTCCGGCAATAAGGCGTGAATTTTATTTTCTAATTCTCTATTAATAGCGCAATAATGTGCTTGTTTCAGGAAATCGGTAATTTAAAAGTGTCACAACTTTTCAAAATTTTACTCGTGTAATGGATAAACTACGTTGCATCACTAAAAAAATTACGAAATTAAAATTTATATAATAATAAATAATTGTGTATTGTATCCTATTTACTGGATGTGGAAAATAATTTTTAAGCATTAGATACATCCACTGTTAGTGTAAATTAATAATTTACCTATAGACATCATATTACAGTGTAGAATAGATTTGGATGTTAGGTTAGTTTAGGTTAGGTTAGATTACGTTAGTATAGGTGGCGAACGTGTGACACCTAAGCTCTTAAACAATAACAATTAACAATTTTAGGATAAACTTATTCATCTAAAACAAATTTCAGTAAAAATAATAAATGTGCTTTTTTACAAAACAGTATACCAATATTATAAAACACATTATTAAGGGTTATATAAGTCTTAAAAAGTAAATTGCAATGCAAATATTAAGCAGCTATACTAACAAATCTCAATTTAAATCTAAAATTGAAAAAAAAAATTCACACAACTCTTTAGGCATGATTTCTCATTCCTAATTGTTATGGTTAAGTATTGCTGAATTGTTTAAAAAGCACTTTTTCCTAAAATCTACATTTTAGCACTGGCAATTGACACACTACTTAAAACCATTGTTTCTCGTGAACTATCAAGTGTTAAGAACGGAATCAGACCTATTCGTTCGATTATCGTATCTATTTCAACTCGTTCGTCTTATAATCCGCGTTGTAATTCCATGTAATCGTAGAGTTTTACTCGAGTTTCCAATTACGCTCATCCACCCATACTGTTCCTTGTCTCCATGCTACCTCTTGATATTACTACCAGTATAATGTGTTTCTGAAATGTGTCAAACGCTCGTCTCGTTTGAGTTCGCAGTCCTTCCGGGCGTATGATGACGATCCTTGCTGCTGTACCTATTCCGTTGAGAGTGCGGTACGGCTTCGTCCAGTTCTAATGCAAGCCAAAACGCATGCGGAACGCAGTCGACTCAGTCGGATGGTAAAGTGATCCGGAGAGCATGCCAGTTGATACGTTAGAATGGTGCGCAACCGGTGATATGGTCAAGTAAATATCTGGTCATAGTCATAGTCATATGATCATGGCGAACAAACAATTAAAACAAGATCTCATCAGCTGAATGATGAATGCAACACACCTATAAAATGTTAAATGATGTAGTTTAGATAAATGCTCAAAATCATCATCCCGAGGTGGATATTTATTTATATTTTGATTGTTAGTTTTTTAATGTGTGTTTTATACCCGAGTGGAAATTGCAATCATAAACTTGATTTGTGTTGCAACGGGTGAGGGGAGCTTTCGTAGGTGGCTCTTCGGTCCACTAAGCAAGCGTAATTCCCTTCGCATATCTAGTTGCCGCCGCCCGTTCGTCGAGCCGCGCGCGTTTTTCTCCGGTATCTCGATGGGCACAGCTCACACACAGGCTAGTTGTTGCTTCGCATGTCCATCCTGTGCCCTGAACGACCGCGCGAACATGTATTCCGTACTCGTATATCAAGCATTGCGGTCACCTGTCCGGAACCGGAAGTTCAAACATTCTCGTACGTACCGCGCGAGTTCACTTCTCTCACCGTCACACGCGCACTTTCGTGATTTCGAGTATGTTGGACAAACTATGGGAATTTCGAAATAAAAAAAAAACAACTACTAGAACGCGCGGTAATGAATACGAGGGGCGACACAGATTGTCCCCCTCGATATTTAAAAATCTATTTGATTTGATTACATGTTTCACGTGTGAGAAAACAACTTGTTTGATGGCAGTATGGGAATTTTTTGATATCGCGTGCTTTACGAGAATGAAACAATTATAACTCGTGAGACTATTTTACATGACTTTAAATATTTAAATTAACCTTTTTTTATTTATGTAGATTATTATATTTTTGAGGTTAATTCCGCTATGAAATTATCACATCAAATTCACATCATCGTAAATTGTTATTACTTGATAAGAATTTCATTTTTTCCTTTGACAACAAGCAAATGAGGGTGATTTTGACGATGATAACGATAACATTCAGCTCGACATGTAAGAAACAAATTTGCAACGTCAAACTACCGAAACTAAGTACTACTTGAATACACGCCGTAGGTACAAATTACGCCTCACTCAAAATTTCCAAATTAATTTCTACCATCAAGAAGTGAGCTTTTTCTTTTCGGGGGGTTGTACGTGGAGGCGTGTAAAACACACGCGTCAACTTCTGCATTCTTCATCGGTGGCCCCGACGTCGTGAAAAACAAATATTTAAAACGTAATTTATGGCGGATACATTGTGCGAGCAGTCGCTCGCATTAATTAATGGCGTTAAGTAAGGGTAGACTTTTCGTTCCCGCGTCCGTGCACCACGCGAGCTCGACATTAGCGTAATGCGCGATGGTGTGCCGCGATTAGCGCCGGTGGCGGTTGGGGGTGGTTGCTAGTGGTGGTCCTAGGTCTTAGGTGTTTTACAAGGGATGCGATGATGACGTGCCGCCTGCCTTCTTACATGCGCGATAAATAAATACGTACGCGCAAGGGCGGGCAGGTAGGCCCTGCGTTTCGTACAAATTGCGGCGAGTTTGCTGCCGTGCGCGCAGGAAGGATACGGTAATGTCGGTAATAGCCTTTTATGTTGCCACCGTCACATTAGTAAAACAATACGGAACCGTCTGTGCGTTGCGTTGCGTTTCGGGTCACGGCATATTACTTTATCATTCATCACACAAGTCTATGCTACATATAGCTATGTAGTTTAGGTATGGAGTAGGTATTTTATATTATTTGCAGTCTTAATCAGATTTTTTTCTAATAAAATGCATAATTTTTTGTTTATCCAGAATTTATTAATTTACTAGCGTTTGCCCGCGACTTCATCTCGGTAGTGTTTAATAAAAATGTAATTTGTTTTTACTGTCTTGTACTAGACATAGTATGTGTCAATTCAATCAATAAGATTCGCAATTTTATTTTAAAGGAATTAATTATAAACGAATTGCTAATAATGCACTTCAGCGCGCCATCTTAGATTCAACTATTTAACTATAACTATGATTGAATCTCAATGCCAACTTTTATCCTCTAGAAAAGGGCGCTCTTTAGGGTTTTCCAGGCAATTAATCGAATTTTTCTTGCCGTAAAAACCATCCCTCGACTTTAACGAACATTTTAAAAAGAATTGGCCAAATTGATCTAGGCGTTGTTGAGTAATGCGCATACCCACATATTTTGCAATTCAATTTTATATTATAGAAGATATAGGTAGTATCAAACTCACAATTACATAAAATTATTATAAAATTTAAATTCCTAGTAATTTCTATATTGCTGAAAAAAATCTCACAACCAATTAAATGTTATATTGTTCTAAATGTTCTATTTTATTAATAATTAGAAATTATCTTCTTAATAAATTTCATGATAGAACTATTTGTGTAACACGTGGCTGATGGACATAGTCAAGGTCACAAGGGTTTTCACAAAAACTGTGATTCCGTTATGAACCTCAGAATATTGCACTCCAGACATAATTTTACGAGCAATAAGTCAAGTCCAAAGCATCTTTACTCAGAAACATGGACCAAAAATGCACACACCGTCGGCGTAAAAGTCGAACCACCATTTACGATACACTCTAAATATTTACTACCGGTTTACTTCTGATCGCTGGGGTTGTAAAACGATTTAACATTTAACCATTCGAAGCAGAATTAAAGCCAAAACGACGAAAAGCCACGCTTGTAAAAACTGTTCCATGCTGCGTTTGCAATAATTCTGGTCAAGAATCAACCACTGTTAGCCTACCCAAATTGCCAGTAAACAAATAAACACACAGTGATCTATATTAAAGAAAATGAAATAATGTTATTCATTATGCAAATTTATTTAATTTACTTATGGCACAAACAAGGATTTGCTATGAAAATGGAAAGTTAATTGCCAGACTACTGGTAGGTATGCAGCCGACAAGCGGAAAACATCGGGCCATCGACACGTTCGTAAATATCGCATGTGGTGTGGTCTGATCATCGGTTGTAAATTGTTTTCGAAGAAGATTAATAAGCGTAATAAAAATATGTTTATGCATTGTGATTTATAGCGATATTAATGTTTCGAGCGCGGGACGCTAATGTGCACGTGAATTATGAATAAGAATGTAAATAATATTCGGACGTGGCGAAGAGTCGGACTTCTTCGCCTGCACACTTCGAAGCGCGCTTGGTATGTGCAATGTGCAAGGTGAAGACGAACGACCACGACGATTACGCGTCAACCATCATCGCCAATCGTAAATTACTTTAATTATTGATTTTTTTCAAATTTGTCTTATATCGCCAAGTGATAAATCGTATTTTACATTCCGTGAGTTATATAATCTACACAGGGTTTTTTTAATTTTTGCATCTCTTGGGCTGAACATTTATATTAAACTAGCTTTTGCCCGCGACTTCGTCCCGGTAGTGTTTAATAAAAATATAATTCAATTTTACTCTCTCGTTCTAGCCATAATACGTGTCAATTCTTCACCGCGCCATCTCGGATTAATCTACTTAACTATAACTATGATTGAATCTCAATGCCAACTTTTATCCTATAGGAAGGGCAGCCTTTAGGGTTTTCCCGATAATTATTCGAATTTTTCTCGCCGTAAAAACCATCTTTGGACTTTAACGAACATTTTAAAAAAGAATTGGTCAAATGTGTCTAGGCGTTGTTGAGTTATGCGCTTACCAACAGATTTGGCGATTTATTTTTATATTATAAATTTAACAAAACACACTATAATTATAAGTTTACTGCAAGTAAAAAAACACGCGTATGATATATTCGCGTTGATTTTGTTACTCGCAGCGGCGGCAGTAAAAATATGTGCGCGGTTTACGTGAACTTTTTCATGCTCCGCCATCGGATTGATGATAAAACGGTCGCGCACGGCACTCGGGTCACAATCCGTGTTTCCGCGTCCGGCCACTTTACCCAAATTCGAAAATTCACACAACACGAAACACGAAATTGTCATCATTATTATTTGCGCTCGTTTAAAATTTGAACGCGCTCGCTTCCACCCACAGCCGGCGCATTTGTTTCTACACGAGCGCGCACGCGGCTGCAACATTGAAAATTATTCGCTAATATTAAATATCTGATCGGGTGGCGGTGATATTAAATTAATGTGTTGTGCTGATGTACGATATTTTGCAATTTAACGTGTTTTCGACGAATTGTGCGCCGGAATTTCATTAAATCGTACAGATAACGAAATTATTTCATCGTTTTGCACATGATATCGAATAAAAACCGTCAGTTTTATAAGATTAGTGATGCCTTTCATGCTTTCGGGTTGATAACAAATTGATTTCAGTGTAGCGAGATGGAAATTTATGCGGTGCTAATTAGCAGTCACGTTTATAAGACCGATGTTTATGAGAATCGTTCCGTGGTTGTCATAATCGTATTTATTGTCGAAGCAAAATGTTTTAATGTGAACCTGTGAAACGTGCCGCCTCATTTACTAAACAAAAAACAATAACTTAAATCTATACAGAGTTGTATTTAAAAATTTCAACAATAATCAAATTTAAGTTGAAATTTAATATTTGTGTGGAATTTTACAACACTCTGTATATTTGCAGGAAAATAAATCAAATTAGCGTAGCTTGGACCAAGGTTTCTTTTAATCCAAAATTGATACATTGATGTTGAACGTGTTTGCCTTTTTCTGTCAGATTTCCTTAATCCGAAATTTATTGCTCACTGTTTAGGTTATCACGTCGGCACAGGTAGACCCGAAGGAGTCCAACCACCCTCGAATTCTTGAATGTTTTATGTCGCGATTCCAGTGTACAGACCACACAGTGGTGTTATATTCGTTTTGTGGTGGTCGCGTGAAGTTCAGGTCCAAGCCGGACTCGATAAATTTCAGCATGATGGAGTTGATTATAATAATGTAATAATCGCCGATTTGCATATTGAATAATTACATTCCGATCTGATATACGAGTAGCTACACGGGGCTCTAAATTTATACTGTACGGTAAGGCGTTCGTGCGTTGTATTTAACACGTCGGCGAGAAATTATAATTTCTTACACGGCTTCTACCTGCAGTGCTTTTCACTTTTCGACAGGCGTCGTGAGTTGGTGCGATGCTTATCTTATCAACCGTATGCACTTTTTTGAAAATCAGCATTACCCGCGTATTTTCCTGACGAAGCAAAATTATATCTATGCTGGGTATATAGTTCTAATAAAATAAGACATGCAAATATAAAACTTTTTGTATATAGGTATTTAATGAAAAATCAGATTTTGTAAATTTTTAATTTAATTATTAATATTATTTGTTTTGGCAACTTTTATAATCGGTGAATAGTCAAATACTAATTGATAAATCAACAAAATATTTTGTCTTATTGTTGATGTTGTTTAAGCCGAATATTTGGCTATTACTAAACTTATCTTCACCCCATTCGTAGTTAAATTGTAAAATTATATATAATCATAACATAAAGCAGGGCAGAAATTATTTTTACATTTGCTTGCAACCCTCAACGATAATCCGCACCCAATCCGAACTGTACCACCTTTCAAAAGTCTGTTTTGTTTGAATCATCGACGAAGGAACAATACACGCTTGGGCAAACCCACCCGTGGAAAACAACAATCAATTAAACGTTAAATAATGAAGTAATCGAATTAAACGCTCTAATTGAATGTCCCGTCTCGTCAACTTCTGATTGCATGCGCCCGCCAAACGAAATTATAGACCAAGCCACAGAACGCCAGAGTCCCTTTGGCTTTGCATTCATTGCGTGCATGCAAATAAATGCGTATATACTAAGGTAACATCCGTTAGTGCAGAGAGCATCCAGGGGGTGAGAGCCCAAAAAAAAACGTAGAAATAATTGCACACTCTGACATTGCGCTGCAGCGGAACGGTAAGCGCATGAATACGTGTGCACGAAATCATACGTTGGTTGGGCCGGCCGAAACGATTTAAAGTACTATTATGAGGGGGTGCGTGGACTCGGGAACGGGTGCGTTATTTGTGATTACATGTGGTGCGAGCATATTTTCGTATTATGGTTGGTACGTATCGTGATTCTTTGATCGTGGGAAATCAGTGTTTGAAATTATTTAGCCACCTGTAGTCGGTTTTGAATGATTGAATGTGAAACGATTTGACTCCCACATTCATCAGTTGTCTCAAATAAAAAAGGGGTTTATTTTAATATAAATACTTAAATACAACTTAACTAAATAAATATTTTCGTTGATTCTGTGATACCTACTGTAGCATCTTCCAACATTATTGTTGTTGTTGCTCTGATGACAGTATAACAACGTGTCATCCCGGAACACGGATGTTCTAATTTGTTACGCTTGGTGATATGGAAATGCAGCGCGACGCTTTCCGTTTTCGAACATCACATAATTATGCTTTAATGCATTCGACCAAATCGCAGCCAGCAAAAGTATATTAAATCATAAAACAAATTAATCATAAATCAATCAATTTGCACGACTCAATTGACTCATTATTTTAATTTTTTATTTTATGAATTTGTTTACGAATGCAAATTAGGCATCCGGGTGGTAAATGACTTCCGGCGATGGTTGCTACTGTGATCTATGGGAAGTTTAGTGCTGGTGCGAACTCGAACACCTTAATATTCGCAGTGATTACATCGCCATTGCGCTGGAAACGAGATTAAATGTCGATTTGCTGATAAACATTAAACTTTTTATGCATCGTTAGGTGACAATACTGCTGTGTACACCGAAAATAGTTGATGGCCGATAAATAATTACGTTACGTAATGCACGAGATAAATAAACAAATTAATCATGAGTTGACGGATTAGGTGTATTTCTATCAATATACCAGTAATATTTGAAATGTTGACCTTATGTTTTTTATAACTTTCACATTCGGACGTATTTTTAGGTTAGTAATGTAATTGTAATTTGGTTTGATTTTTAGGTTATGAAGATGCTAAAAATGTATTTTTTTAGTAGAAAACGTATAAAAATATTGTTTTTGCAAAATATAAGTTGATATTATTTGTTAATAATTAGATTTTTTACACGTTTTGGAATTTGAATGCATCATTTGTGATTGAAATCTAAAATTAGCATTTTAGCTGAATGACTAACGTTTATATCAAAGCAGGCAATTGAAATTGAAAGCAAATCAATTAACCAAGCCTTATCTGCGCACAAAATTAAACCAATCGCGTCAAACGATGTAAAACGATGAAGCGCTAAAAGAGATTTGTCCTCGCACTACCGTCCACGTCCACAATGCGCAAATGGCGTCATTAACGCATCAGCTTATTATGCCGTAAGCGTTTTTCTTCACCGCGCGCGATTGATTCCCGATTTAATTTCCCGTTTTGCGTTTAATTATAAGCATCTTAGGCACTTTACTTGCAACACCACGCTTAAAATCCACCGAGCACCGCGTGCGTCAATTCGCAAAAAGGAAGCACTTAATAGCTTTTGCGTTTGTTTCGTTTTTTTCCTCAACTTCATCCTCAACGCGCGGTGCATTTTTGCAGGCGCGCTCTTTAACTTGTCAACACGGATAGCCGCATGCAATTTTAACCGATTTTATTGAAAAACCTTTCGACGGCGACTCGCGCTCCGGGTCGGAGTTGGAGGCACAATGAGACTTTGTGTCGCCTCATTGAGGCGCTGAAGAGTCGCCGAGGAGACGTGTGTGGCACGATGCGTGGCTGCCGTGTAATGAGAAACGAATGAAGAAATGCGCCAACTCTTAGCTGGACGGACACGTAAGTGGATGCGACGTAATTGATTTTGATTACTATTTTGATGAGGAATTTTTCACCATCGGTGCATAACGGCGAGCATAATAAAATTGCACGTGCACTTTTTCTATTCACGACGACAGAATGACCACAAGAATCAATCAATTAACATGTTTCAAGTATAGAATGACTTCTATAGGGAGTAAATTATTTTTGGAAATCATTTTTTAGCTTAACATAACTTATTTACCTATTTACTTACTTTTGTGACTGTTTTCCAGGAAACAGGATGCATTGTTATGCAGTTATACATCCACAGGTGAGTACTTAGAGGTATATCCTCACCGCATGTAAAGACATTCTTAAGGTCGTCCATTCATAGCGCATTGTGCGATTAAATAAGGTGTTAAAGAAAAATCTGCTAAGAGTGTTAAATAATATTAGCATCATAATACCTACGTACTGTATGGTTGGGACTCACCTCACCGACGTCTTTAAAATGACATGTTTCAAGCAAACAGACATTTTATTAATCGATTTCGATTGACACATCGTCCCAGCCCTAACCCTTGCGCACTTGTACCGTATTTGTAAGCATTCGTATACCTGTTACATGTGAAACAAATTTAATATAATCATATATTTTACACATATTGGAATCGGTTTTTTGCAATGATGAGAAAAAATAACTTTGATTTATTAACTGATCGATCCGGACAAATTATAAACAAATGTGCATTGAATATGGTTATAATTATCGAAGAAATCAACGATAAAGTAGTTAGCGCTATTATTGATCGGCAATTTGCAATTAGTCGAATCGAACAATTTTGTTTTTGCTGGAATTATACGAGTGATACGCGCGCATATGCATCATTAACACGTTTGTCTGCTCATCAGCGAGCGCACTAATCAATTTAAATGGAAATTTTAGAACTCGTTAGCCAGGTAGATACAAAAAAATATAAATAAATATTGTCGGTGTGTTTTTATTTTAAATATTTAATGTAAATATTTTGTAATTTTCGATTTTATAAGAGAATCTAATATGGTACTTAATGAAATGACGAAATCTGCAAATTACTCTACAGTTTACACTCCCTCGTTCCTACACTCGTTATAGCCGCTTTAACCCAATAACGTTTTCAACAAATGTTACTAAACTAAATGTTAATTCACCTTGCGTCCAACCTACCTACTCTGTACTATTAGTTATGTTGTGAAATGATGGTTTACTCGAGTGTATTAATCATTTTCGTCTTTTTTTTTTCAATATTGTGTGCGAACGCAACATTTCGTGCACGCAGCGTTGTGTTCATTACCCTCGCGTTTGCTCTTCGTGCATGTGTGAGTGTGTTTTTTTCCTTTACAATTATCAGCATGCGAGCGTCATCGAGCCGGTAATAAATGACAAAGTTTCGCAAAACTGAGCGATCGCTCGGCTCCTGCCGGAGACGAAATTCACGCGCGCGCGCACGCTGAAAAATTAACGTAAACAAAACTACCCTGCAAGTACAGCATCATCCGAATTGTCAGTGCGGCGGTTATGCGCTCGCTCGGCGTGATTTATGATGCCGCGATGCATTCGCATTCACACATCGAGCAACGTGCGCGCTAACGGCGTTCGGAAAAACGTTCGATGTCTAGCTAGGAGGAAAACAGCATCCGTGCAGCTGTGCGATATGCCCAGGTGTGTTGTTGTCCTCCCTTCTGCGAGCGCGTACACCCTAAATATTTCTCTCGTTGGACTCTTACTGTACTGCGCATAAAACTCACCTCGTGGGCCTACTTCTGTATGTGTGTGTGTGGGTTTGTGAGGAAAGGACAATGCGATTCGAAACTAGTTCTGATTGAAAAGGGGGAAGTTAAACGAGCCAGCGAGCTGCAATTACGCATTCGTGAACTTTTATACACACAGCTTCAAGGCCAAGGCAAGTACCAAAATTCAAGCGTGAACCAAAACACGGTCTAATAAAACCGAATGTTGGTTCATCAGTGGGTTCAAAATTCATGTTTTGATATTTAACTCAGTCGTTTGCAGGGACTGCTAAAAATCATAAATAAAATTTTATTGTTTGTAGCTACAGCTTCAATTTTTGGTTTGTTTACATATCTTTTTTATCAGGTTTGCCAGTGCAACACAATGTTACTTGTAAGAATCAGTCAGTCCGCTGCAATCAGCGCAACATGCCGCTGCGGGTAAATAACAGTGAAAAGTTGTTTAATTTGTTTAAAAACTGCAGTAATCGATTCAAAATGAATTAAATGTTAACTTAAGATATGTCACAAGTAAGTGGTTTGTATTCCTCTTCGTTTACATCTTTAACAACTAAAGATTTGCCATATTTTATTTACACACGCTAGTTTTACGTTAAAAACGATAAGTTTGATCAATCACTGCAGCAGATCGCATAAAAATCGTATTTTCGTTAAAAAACTTGTTTTATTTGAAATTTGCGTTTCATTTGTTAACCAAGCAATTTCTTGGACACGTTTTCGTTGTATAGTCTCCAATACACAGCGCCGACCTTTCTTATCAGTTGTTTATAAATTTTATTTACATCTGCTTCCGCATTTTGTCGTCGTGTGCAAAAATACGTGGAATAATATTGTTTTTATTTCATAATCTTGACGCCAATAATTAATATATACCTACATCTGCGCATGATAACACTATTACTTTAAGGCCTAAGCAAGAAAATATTATTCGACCACCGGATTTTTTTATTTCACAGCCAATTTCGAAAATTATTTTATGTTTCGACGGTATCTAAGTCACTAAGCCACCAAATTTCATCTCCGCCGTGGATCATAGCCATTTTACGTTTTTACCAAATGTCGATAATAATTTTTCACCCGACGTCGTAAAAACTTCGTTCGTTCGCTGCGTTTTGCGCTTGACGATTTACGACGCACGCCCGTGTTTCGAATGCGCTTCGTTTCGTTGTCAGCAGTGTGCACTGGTGTGTGTGTGTGTGTGTGTTGTTGCGGCGTGCTATTGTGTGCTACATTGTCGTTCGGCGACGATTTGAAATGCGAGGGTGTGTGTGTGTGTGTGCATCGTAAATCCGGGCCGAAATTTTAAATCGGAATTCCTAGAACACCTCTTTACGCTTCATCCCATCGCAGCCCGTAGTGCACAACCTTCTAAGTCCGAAGAATTTCGACCATCGTTGGTCTTGTCCACACTTCAGGCGGTCACTTCGATATGCTTCATGGCAGACATTTCGGCGACACAGTCACAAACTGTAAATATCACCGAAGAGAATCTACTAATTCTAAACGTAAAACAAAAATTCCCATAAAACGATGAATATTTACTGAAAACAATATTTTAAATTAAGTATTCGATTTAATTTTGTTTACTGCAAATCCGACCGCTTTCTTAAATTATATTTTACCTGAGATCTATTTAAAACTGATGGTTGAAAACATTTGCAAATATTTTGTAACCATTTGCTGTCATTTGTCTTAAATTTTACTTGTGTATTTATGGCATGCACTAATTTGTTTTCCTAAATCAGAACAAATACACCCATTACTCTATTTGCTCACTGCTGGCTTATTGATAGATTTGAGGGCATTGATATATTTATGACTGACTCCTACTCAACTACACATTCAATGCAATTTACTAGCACAACAATCTCTCAACATCAAAACACCTTGACTAGTACAGTACTTGCAAAACACGATGCTTTATTTGTACCTAGTATGCGTGGGCGTTTTATTACAATTAATCTTAGCACAAAAACTTAAAAAAACTACATTTAATGACTACCATTTAACACGTTCAGAAACAAAGTGTTTGAGAATTCATGGCCAATTTGTTGCGTAAAATATTAGCTACCTCATTTTTTTTTCAATTTTCACGTGTGTGGTCCTTTAATCAATCTATTTTTGTGCAGGCGGTTGAATTTTTTCTTTCGTCTACACTCGCGTTAGAGCATCATTTATTTTCCGCTTTTTTTGGATACCCTGTTGTGTCTCACATTAAATGCTCAGTGTAAAAGTGTGGGCACTGTGAGCATTAATGCTTTTCGGGGATGATTTACCGTTTCGGCCATGATGAAACACATTTTTAGGTTAGGTTAAATTTTTACACAAAATTACAATGACAGTGTTTTTTTTTATACAATAGAGAATAATTGTAATAATTTGTAAAATTATTTAATCTAACATTATTGAATCGACATATAATTATGTAGGGTTTACCACGTGGAATATCATCGTCTCTTGAAAAAAGCGATTCGTCCGACCTCATTTCTTTCCGATTGAACACAATAGATACGCACGAGAACAATTTATATGAAATTTCTAAGCGCCGGCGGCGTTGCGACACCACAAATATCGCGTCCCAAATATCGCCCCATCGGTTTCCCCAATGATACCGTTTGATATAATCGTCCGAAAGCCATTATTTCGAAACGCTAATGTTTATACTTAGACGCACACACACAGTGATAGATATAAACGTTAAATTAATTCAGATATGCGGTGGGTAATCTATCGCCGGAATCTGCATGTGTCTGGTAGCTCAATGTCAAAAAATTGAAATATTCAGATGCTTAACGAAAAGGCCTATCAAAACAACACTCACGAAATTCTTGTCCGTTGTATATTGTCGAGAGTTTAAATGTTTAGATGGTGTCATTCTTATTTATCAAGACTAACTTTTGCCCGCGTAGCTTTTAATAAAAACTGGCCTAACTAATCATTTTCTTGTTTCTTGAAGCTATGTGTCGACTCCGCGAATAATATTCATACTTTATATTTTAATAAATATTGTAATACCTACTGAATTAAGCGCCATCTTACTTTAAATTCTAAAACTATAAGAATCTACCTTCATCTCTTATTTTACACCCCTTCGAGGTATTTCTGCAACAAAAGACTGTGAGTAAAGAAATTATTATGGAATTTTCCTTGATAAGTAGAGTCGCTAAATTAATTTTTGAACGGAACCTGTTTGACACGTATCAACAATTTGTTTGAGAGAATAAGAATAATGTTTTAGCTATATTTTCCTTGTAATTTCTTCATGATTTCTCATCGTTTGTATTTTCCTTGAATTTCTAAACATATGTTAAAACGAAATTTAGCGAAATTTAGCCGTTCTCAACTTTTTGTAAGGTAAAAATACGTCTATTCATTTTTATAGGTATACTACATTTTTCCTCGCGACTTCGTCCCGGTAGTGTTTAATAAAAATTTAATTCGTTTTTACTCTCTTGTTTTAGACATAGTATGTGGCAATTCTATCAATAAGATTCGCAATTTTATTTTAAAGAAATTAATTATGTAAAGAATTGCTAATAATGCACTTCAACGCGCCATCTCGGATTCAACTATAACTATACTATAACTATGATTGAATCTCAATGCCAACTTTTATCCTAGAGAAAAAGGTTGTCTTTAGGGTTTTCCGGCCATTATTCGAATTTTTCTCGCCGTAAAAACCATCCATGGACTTTAACAAACATTAAAAAAAAAAGAATTGGCCATATTGGTCTAAGCGTTGTCGAGTTATGCGCTTACCAACAGATTTTGCAGTTCATTTTTATATTATAGATGTATCTAGATATATAATAATTCATTTGTTAATTGTTATAGCGCGTCTATAAGAAAACGCATATATTTTACGGTATGCATTACATGATGAATAAATTGATCTGATTAGACGCTTCAAATGACTACACTAGAATGCGTAATGCGTAAGGTAAGTCAAATGAATTTGTGTGTGAAAAGTGTTGAAACAAACGAATCATCACACCCTCGCCGTTGATTTACACGCGTACTTTTTTCTACACTCGACGCGCCTCGCATGTTAACACATCAGCGCCGCGAACGCCGCACGACACCATATAATCTAATTAAAGTGCATGTTAAGTTGTAAGTCGTGTGCAGTGCTCACGCCGGGTGCCGACTAATAATCTGATCCAATTAAGTGTCGGCGGGCGAAAGTGTGTGCTTTCGTGTCGTGTCGACTTTGGAAGCTTACAAGATACCTACGTGTATGCGTGGGTGTAGCGCCACCCCGCGGCAAACATACTCATATGTTATGCAGATAAGAGATAGTACCGTCGATGGATGTGGCTGGCACGCGAGCCGTGTGTTCGAATCACGACTCACGTCTTGTAAATATCGGCATGTAATAGCATAATAATGTCTTTTGTCGCTAATTGTCTCTGTCGATGGGGGAGACAAGCGTGATAACATCGTGATTGACATGGACGATATGAGCTAATACAATATGTTTTCTGATTTAAATTTTTAGTGGAAATGTTGCAAGGTGAAACTAAATTGTAACTTAATGATTTGATTGAAGGAGTGTGAGTTAATTTCTATTGGTGAAAAAATAGCTAATATAGATTCAAGATAACAACAATAGAAAATTGACGATTTGCATGACTCGATTTTCTTTTCTTTAGATTCACGATTTATTCTAAGAATAATAAATAACAATAAGCAACAGCGAATCAGATTTGACCTTTAAATAATAAAATATCAATATTTTGAAATATAAATCTTTACTTTTGTTAATTCAATCATCAAATTAATTTATCTTTCAACCATACACCAAGATTTTCATCTTATCCGTATAATTATTTAATAATTACTCAGATTGTATCTTCTCGGGATCGCAGCCAGCTTTGTTGTGTTCCGAGTAGATCTGAAATCAATTAGCATTAGCATTTAGCAAACATCTGTAATTAGAGCTCACGTCGCCGCCGGGCAAAGCGAGCAGCACAAGCAACACAAGACATAACCTGCCCGCCGTGATTACTAAATTACTAATGATGCAAACGCAGGAAAATCGTAACACACATAGGAACATTTCGAGGCGGAAAATACGAGTGAGTGATTTACGCGCACGACGATAATATCGCAAATCGTAACGCACGTGCCGCACGCGTACACTCGCCACGCCGCGACGAAAAAGACATCAGGCGCACGCAAACCTCGCGTGGGCAAGCCGTCCAAGAATAAGTAACTCAATGTGCGTTCGATCTTGATATCGCGCTGATATTACGACTGATTGTGTAATTACATCGTCCGTGCGTGTTAATTTCGAGTATATACAAGATTTGAACCAATGTGTCACATCCGATTTGTTATGCGCATGCGTGCATATCTACGCGCATGCGTATCATGTAGGTAACTTCATGCGCTTGTCATTAGTTTTTTGTTTTGTGCAAATATGGATGAGGTAAAGTACGGGTGTTAATTATTCGTGATTTGGTCATGGTTTAAAATATGTATGTATTCGAGATTGAGCAACGCTGGCGTAACATCTTCCTGGAAGCTGGCAGCAACGTCTCGCTAGTTGACTGTTGTAAATAAATTGTTGTTATTGCCCGTAATATAAAGTTCGTGACTTTTCGGCTTCGACGTCGATACTCCCTTGTATATGACGGTTGTAAATTTTCATAAAATTGCCATCAGATGCTTCAACAAGTAAGTATCCTCACTTTTTTTACCACGAAAGTCTTCCTCTGTGTACTTAGGTACTGTAACTGCAGTGAGTGAGATTTAAAATACGCCCAACAACGTGAGGTGCCTGCAGGGTAAATCAGCCGCTTGCTATTTTTTCGTGCAAGCACGGATTTTATTCATTTCAGCATTTTTTGTTTGTGCGGTATGCAATATGTGTTGCATGCGTATAGAATACGTAGCTAAATAGTGCAGGTAGTGCCTACTTACATGTAGGTAATGGGTAAGATGGGTAACACCAGCAGCAGATTGGGTTACACGTCCACTCCGTTCGCATCTCCATGCCAACACCAACTCAAGCTGATGTGTGCTGTCACGCGTGAAAGGACGTCGAAATCGACCCGAAAACCACGCCGTCTTCTTATAGCACATTTCAGTATCAGTGTTGTTTTGCCTGTTTCATGTTTCACCATCAACCAGCGACGATTTATCAAATCGCATGCACGCTATTCTACACATGCATGTGGACGTCATCGCCGCCGTCGCGCCCGTTCTGCTCGTTGCGCGCTCTCCTGGTGCGCGTTTGATAATTTCCTGCGATTAAATGCGACGGTCATCGCCTAATTGGGGAAGGGCGCACCGGAAATTAAGGGTGCGCATGCACTACATACCTACGATGACCGCCGCTAATCCTAATGCGAGGAAATGATGCTCGTCAATTGGGTGTCGTTCACAATCGTTTCGCTGTTATTGTTGTTGCACGCTCTGCGGGCGTACCTATATCAAATGGTCTGCTGATTCAAAGTTACGCGCATTGCATTTGCAAGTAGACGAATAAACGAGACAAATTTTCATATTACTCAACATACCAAAGTATGCATAAATATTAATTTTTTATATTTGTGGGGATCTTTACCCAAAGCTTATTTCTGTATTTCAAAACTTTATAACTTTCTTCATCTTTATTGTATACCGTAATTCTTCATCCAAAATTCCCAAATTTCCTAATATCTTTTATTACCTTGAAAAACCTAATCCCCGAGTCGGACGGTTTGGCACGACTCGGATTCCCAGAATCCAATGGTCAGCTTTCCCTCTCTTCAATGTCATACACTTTCTTCTACCAATCCAATCTATTACTTTCTTCCTACTTCCAAATTTCTTGTCACCACCCATCAACCTGAAGGGTTGCTGGTGGGTGACAAGGGTTTAGGAAGGAGAGTTCTTGACATTACTTCAAACACTACAGTTCTTAACTATTCTTCTCTACAATACTTCTTAACTATACTTCTTCAAGACTTCTTAATAAACATTGTTCGTGATAATAAACATCGTGTCTTTTACTCACTCATCAATTATAACATTTGCACTCACTCACCGATCCCACAAATTGGTGACCCCGACGTGATTTTCGAACATTAAACAAACAAAACTGACGTGAAATTCGCGAACATTAAACACACATTAGTTTTTTTGTGGGTATCTGGTGAGTCAATTTCTGAGTGCAACACAACAATGTCTACGACGAACGCAACATCAACCGCTACCAAGGACTCAATCTTCGATGCCTCTTCAGCTACAACTTCCACCGCAGAAGGCATCATCCAATACTTCTGCACCTACGATGCATCAACCGCACGTTCCGAGTTATCACCAAGGACATTCAACATCGCCGCACCATGTGCCGCCTCATCCTGGTATGCCTAGTATGCAGTTTTCTTCCACTGCCCGGTATGTGTCCACATGGTGATCCACCACCGCACATGCCGCCGCATCTTAAACTCCCGTCACATACTTCTCCTCCGCATTCTATACCACTTCATTCCCACCCACAAGGGTGGCTCTAATTCTAATAGCCCACTGCCTTCTCAACCATACTCTGGAGTACCCTCATCACATCCAGGTATTGCATCGCATCACATCACCAGGTCCTTCGACCGTATAACATCCTTCATGCCGTTTAAGTGTCAGAACATGCCACAAGTGGTATGTCTACACAGGCACAACAGAAGAAAAACAGCCAGGGTTAAGAAGAAAACAAACACCATAGCCGTGGCACGTTTGCCAAGAATGTACACTAGAGACGTTTTCCAGAACTGTACTCTAAAAAGCATGGTGCTCACAACTTCGACCAACCCGACATAGATCCCAGTTCAACCAGAGATCCAGCAGCAGCAACTACAACCAATCCCGGAGAATCCGCAAGTCTCTGTCAGCAACTCTCTCTCAAACGACAAGACTTAGGAGGCAGGTACGACTCACCGACTGTTTCCACGCTGGGTTCGCAGGATTTCATCTCAGTGCAACGCGCACATCAGCTCTGCTGCATGCTCTACCAACAACTCTCGAACGACGAGAGCTGGGAGACAGGTACGACTCACCGACTGTTTCCGGACTGGGTTCCCAAGATTTCATCTCAGTGCGACGCGCTCATTACTGTTGCAACCCCTCTCGAACGACGAGATCTGGGAGACAGGCACGACTCACCGACTGTTTCCAGGCTGGGTTCTCATCTCAGTGCGACGCGCACACCACTGCTGCAACCTCTCGCCAACAACTCTCGAACGACGAGAGCTGGGAAGCAGGCACGACTCACCGACTGTTTCCAGGCGTGGTTCTCAAGATTTCATCTCAATGCGACGCGCATCACCTCTGCTGCATGCAATACCAACTCCGAAGAGCTTCTTCCGGCCTTTCCGGTAACTTTATCACTGGTAGGGGGGTACTGTGGGGATCTTTACCCAAAGCTTATTTCTGTATTTCAAAACTTTATAACTTTCTTCATCTTTATTGTATACCGTAATTCTTCATCCAAAATTCCCAAATTTCCTAATATCTTTTATTACCTTGAAAACCTAATCCCCGAGTCGGACGGTTTGGCACGACTCGGATTCCCAGAATCCAATGGTCAGCTTTCCCTCTCTTCAATGTCATACACTTTCTTCTACCAATCCAATCTATTACTTTCTTCCTACTTCCAAATTTCTTGTCACCACCCATCAACCTGAAGGGTTGCTGGTGGGTGACAAGGGTTTAGGAAGGAGAGTTCTTGACATTACTTCAAACACTACAGTTCTTAACTATTCTTCTCTACAATACTTCTTAACTATACTTCTTCAAGACTTCTTAATAAACATTGTTCGTGATAATAAACATCGTGTCTTTTACTCACTCATCAATTATAACATTTGCACTCACTCACCGATCCCACATATTTAATTTAATTTATTCTGACACGTGTTAAATTACCTAACACAGAAGAAACAAATCGTTTTAATTTGGTTGTCCTACCAAGTAAGGAGTTAATCACGAAACGTTGGATTCTTTCGATCTCTGTAGATGATAATGTTTATATTATTTTTGGGTGATATCTTTATCCTATCAAATTGTCACTCATAATAATTCATCAAAATGAAGTTTTTGACAAGTTGTAGATATATGAATAACTCACGCTTTATTGTGCTACCATATAATCTCTATTGTTTTAGTCTTGCTCTGTTTGAAGCTGTTTGAATATTTGCAGCTGTTGTAATCGATGATGTGATGTGGGGTGATTTTTGTATGCAATCGTTGCACCCGACGAAATTACTCCCTTGAGGGGGCAGATTTTTTAATCGGTGATACCAGTGGGAGGTCTTCATGATTGCCCTCGAATATTATGCACATTTTTGTGAAACGCCGCTCCCTTGAGCAACCAACAAACACGCTGGTTTTGTTGTGCCAAGTATTTAGAGCTCATGCAGTGCGTATTATTTTAAAAGATTTTTAGGTAATTCGTTGTTGAAGTTCGTGTACACGTAGGCGTACGTACCGATCATTTTTTTCGTTCGAAATCGGCAAAATCACTTCGAGCGCAAAATTGGCATGTTCCTTCACGATTTTTTCGGCCTGAGAAAACGTAATTCCATCCTTCGTCTTGACGTGCATGCAAACGCCGATAGCAAAGCACCGCTCGGCTAAATAAGCACGATGCGTAGCCGGAAAAAAGCCTCGCACACAAAAAGTGGATTAAGCATCTTAGTTTTTTTTCTTTCTGCCTCAACGTCTACTTAGTTTTTTCGACCTCCTCCGCATTTGCTGCGTATTTGCGGAAGACACAAAGAACTATATTCTGGCAGCTTGCCGCGGCTAAGCCTAGTTGTGTTTGTGTGTAACTCCTTTCATTGCGCTTGTTTCAGGTGTTCCCATCGACGACAATCTCGGCCGTCACAAGGAGGCAACTACGAGTAAACTCTCTCTCGGACTCGGGAGCAATCTCCGGCCGCAGTTTGTGGGGGCCAAGCGCGTAACGATCCGCCAACTTCCAAGTAGCTGCTGGAGTTGAGGATTGCGGATTTTATGGCCGCTAAGGAGCGGAGGAAGAGCCGTAAGCCGGGCACCCTCTCGCGAGCGGGTGGGTGAACAATGCGCGTCTTCTTCTTTGGGGTGAGTCTAAGCTTTTAATTTGTTGCTTGCGGAAGTAATTACGTCGGCCTGAAAATAAACTAATTGCGGCTGCCACGTGATATTATTATATGAAATATACCTACCATGCGAAAAATAATAATAAATACAGATTTATTGAATGCATTTTAATTATTCGATATTTTAAGACTAAAAAGTCTTAAGTGTAAAGAAAATTTTTCTTTATTCTTTTAAAAAATACTTACTTTAAGTTCATTACTTTGCTAAAAACTGTTTTCCATGCACGAAGTCACATTCTATACGCAAATCTTTTTATTTTGCGATAGCGACGAACATAATAAGCACATACACGCATGAAATTCAGACGAAAAAATATTAATATGAAGGAACAAGAACGGCACACCGTGCACGGTGTATTTCTCTTCTCGCGATGATGCCTCGAACAGGTGCGCATCCCATATGCCGTAGAAACGTATTACATTCGCGTTTTAATATCCGTGTAGTATCGCAGCGAGCGCAAAAGACTCTTCCTTCGCCGACTGGGTATTATTATCGCCGCGCAGCGCCTACATGCGTCGCCAAAGATGCGAAAGCGACTTCGATATGGAAGCGGGCGAGCAAATCATAATGCACACGGGTAACAATTCGCGCGAGATGTGAATCGCTTTATCATCGACACGTTCTCGTTCATTCGCCATGCAAATACACCAACTTTAAATAATTAAAGATGGGATTTTAACGTTTGAACACGCTCATGATTTCGATAACTTATAGATTTCGCCAAGTAAATTGGGCAATTATACGCGTAGCATATGCAGATGGTCTCCTTCAATACATATAACTAAGTAAATTAATTAATTTGCTCAGCCTTGAGGACAGAACTTAAATTTAGATTTAAAAAATCGTATGTGGTTATATGACGCTTCTTTTTAAATCACAAAGACGAGTTTGTGTAATTTGTACACGTACGCAATCAAATATTGTGCGTTGATTGATGCGGACGTGTATAGTCCAGTTGGTAGGTACTTTCCAAATCGACATTTTCACGGTTTCTTAAATTACGGCACCGTCATTAACACCTCCATACGTGGCGGACGATTCAATATATGCAAAGTGAAGGATGAAAAAAAAAGAACCTCCAGCTTGATCTACGCCCGAATAATGTCTTACTTGGACCATGTTGACGTTTTACAAATCGCGCGCGTCTCGTGTGTCGTTCTTCTTCTTGCACCTTTTCCTGTGACAACGCTAACTACTCATCACTTCATCAATACGAAGATAATTATCGCGAGTGTTAGAAATAATTTTAAGATTCGGTTATATTTGTCTATAATATATAATATTACAACACTCTGTATACTTGGTTGCCTGATTAGTTTGTCTTCAGGTAAGCACGGCTTCGTTCTCTAAGGGCATCCACCAACGAATCCATCCACATGTAAAAAATAATGTGGTCTTTTTTTGCTTTACCCACTGATTTCCAGCGTGTCGTGTTTGTTTGATGCGTTGGGTGAAGTTGATGGTATGTGTGCATTTGTCCATATTTTACGAGACTGATTAATATCGGCCAATTTTTAACGCCGCGCGGCCGGCGTGTTAATTAAGCGCGCATGCAGCACACGTGAAGCGCGCCGTTGAGAATTTAATCACCGAATATTAGTCATGTAACTAGATGGCCGCGACCGTTACGACCTGGGTCTCTCTTGGTTGGGCCCGCGCGATGCGTTTACGTGGTTTACACGGTGTGTTTGCGTTGTGCGTGGAGGAATTGCTTCCCATTCGCTCGCGGCGCTTTCGCTCGTTTCGCTCATATATAATGCAATAATCATTTATAAATGGTTATCATCATCATCATTAAGACACACGCCCCGATAGATTGTAATTATAAGCATTCTGCGGCGGCGCATTAACATTTGAGTCTGTGGACTCGTTTTGATATTCGTCCTTCCAGCGAGTGAAAACTTTTCTTATCACCGTGCGCGCGTGGATTTTACGAGTTTTACAAGTGAGATGTTTATCCGTTTCTCATCGGCCGTTCTCGAAAGTTACTACCTCCGGAGTGTGCGGACGCATTAATGACTTTACTTAAAATGATTATTATTCAAATCGAAATGATTCGCGTTGCCTTTTATCGCCGGCCGTACGAGCGTGCCAATCGTCGCACGACTCACCTCGTAATTCCACCTCTCACATCGCCGCGAAGATATTTTGTCATGCACGGGTAATTTTTGTGCTCGAGGTGTTGTGCGCATGCAGCGTGCGTAAAAACGCCTTCCGAGTCGCATCGAAAAGTCATCATTGAATTTTGTCCACTGTGTCCAGAGTAAATATCCTGCGCGGCGGCCATTTTATAGCTTAATACGAAGAAATCGTAAACGTCAAGTTTACGAAAGCGTCTGAATGCGTACTGCGAACGTCCGCTGAGAAGTGACATCTCGACACGTCAAATATGTTAAAAATTATATGCGCCTTGACTAATTGTAGCCCGTACCTACTCTCGGTTACCTATGTTTTACCGTTCGGCCGTGGCGTGTGGGGCGGGTTGTAAAGGGCCAACATTTACTAAATGCGCACGGATCCGACCTCCTGGAGCAGTCGGTTCCGCGAAGTCTGTCGTAAAGTCAGCTCGTGTCGTCGTGCAAGCCCAGTTTCACAGCATCACAACCTTTTAGTCAGCCCATTGCAGCCAGCAGTTAGTTCCAGAAAGAATCGGAATCCTCATCACCCTCATCAACGCTTTTTTGTATACCTACCTGCCACACATCTACCTATGAAGCCAAAGTCACTAGATCATTCAGTTTTGTATTTTTATGCTCCAATCTCAGCCTTCTAATATGCGTTTGATAAACCTTACTGGAGCAGTCTCTCGAAGCGAGGGAATGATATTGCGGATTACGAGCTGTCGGTCTGATCAAGGTACCGCGATGACCTATGACCACGAGGCGCGAGTCATGCTCGTACACAACGTGCAGTTACACCTCGAAGATGCGAGCAGCACGTCCGATGCGTGCGATGAAGATATCTCGACATGTCGATCGCCATCATTGACGTCCGACCGATGTCAATTCTCCATCTAAGCGATAATTCTGGCTGAGTTCGTCCTGCTGCATGTAAGGTTTGATCATGATATTCGGCTTCACTATTAAAAAGTGGTTGCGATTTGATCTGGACAAGAACAGGAACAAGAACGCATTTACATTATCAACTATGTAATAACTTTTATAACATTTTAAATCTTGAAATGTCAAGGTTGGTGTAATATAAATTTCAAGTTTTGTTTTAAAGTGAAAATTTTGCCAGCATACTATTTGAATCAATCAATTGGTTCCCGCCAGTCAAACTTTCAATGCGTTCGTGCGTAGCGCAGACGGATGAGATGGAATGCGTCAGTGAATTAATGCAAATCTCAGTGTTTATAGACGGATAGACATTATTATTTGTCAAAGCGGTTTCCCTTTGGTGGGTGCAACGAGGGATCCCCGCTGAAAGAGAAGGGGTTCGGACGGACGACGACGCAAACTAAAGCGGATAGATTGCGGTCTCTTTTTATGTTTCCGGTCCACCGGAAATTCCGCTCAGCCGCGGGTCGATATACTCGGCGGGGCCGGCGTCCAAATCGCATGTTGCCGCGTGCCTCCAGATAGAATTATAGTGCACGCAAAAACAACACGCTTCTAACTTGCATCTGGTAGGTAGCCTACTAGCACTCCCACATCCAGCAATGCGATACGATCACGTAACGGCGTGCGGATTAATCAAACCACAATTTAGTGACCATACACATAAAATTGTAATTTTATTGAGTGCTTAGCCAGATACCGATCGGTTGTGATCTAGGTGATGTAAGATACTGTTAGATGGGAAATGCACATTTCCCACACACGCCTTCAAAAAGCTAGTTTTGTTCGCGTAGATTTTGATAAAAAACGCGAAACTAAATATTTTCTTGTTTTCTGGAGATATAGGTTGTCGAATTTGTGTAGAAAATTTTCATTTTTTAATTTAATTTAAAATAATAGGAAATGCCAATAAGACACTTTAGCGCCATCTCGAAACGAGTTATATAACTATTTCTATTACTGAAACTCCATATGAACTTTATATCTCACTATACAGCCTATAAGTTATATTTTTGTGACAAAAAGTGGCCTATTCGATTTTCTTTGGCCTTAAACATATCTCAACGAAAGTGTATGAAAATTGGTTCAAGGGGTTTTGCATGAACGCGTTACAAATAAACAAACAAGTTGTGACTGATGCCCGTCAGATGGAGCAAATTCAACATTATTTGAGGTTAAAGTAGTTTGCAGGATTTATCGATCGCGGCCTGTGGCGAGCCGTCCTAGAAAATGAGAATTTTAATTAAGCAATCGTCGTCGGGCCGGTAATTAATGTAAGTAATTAATATTGTTAAATCTAACTCGCCGGAATGGAATTGGTTATTTAGTTAGGCATAGTCATTACCGGTTGTTGTGATGTTTCGAGTCCTGCGCTGTCTAAACGCGAGGGCCATTCGGCGCTGCTTCGCGGCGTGCCTTGTGCCTTCGCCTGGTCGGACAAATTAGCCATTCGTATTTGTTGACCATGTGTGTTGCGCGCCTCGCATGCCTCGCGGCGCAACTCCACAATCCACAAATACATTACGCGCCGCGTAGCGCACTTGCGGCGCTCGCATCGCGTCAGACAATTTGTTGTTCATAATGTGTATGTGTGTGTGTGTGTGTGGGGAGCCAGCACCTAACTAGCTACGCAGAAGAGGAAGCCAGCGATGCGAATTTCACGGAGTTATGTGCACTAATGTCCTGCTCACGTTACAATGCAAATTCGTAAATTTTCACCCTGCTGCAGATAACGCGCTTATTCATCGAGAAAAATATGCAAGCTCTTGGAATTAAACTTTTGCACGTTACTTATTATTCCTTTAAGCAAAAAACGCAGGCAAACTCACATTTATGTGATTTATGAAATTGTTGTTGGTTTATTTGGATAATTTAACGTTTAGGAATATCATTAGAGTAGTT